AACCCCTTGTTCATGGATGTTGATGTTTATAGAGAGACAGTAATGGGGGCTGAATTAGAACCAGGGTATAATTTACACAATTTTGTGCTTGTTTCCCTGAGCTTGCATAAAAACCAAGGCTTTGTAAATTTAAAAATTGAGTTTTCTTCTTGGTATTTTTCAAAATAGTTTTTTTAAATTCACAGTATTAATGTTGTAATGTAAGTGTCTTTGATACATTACTTTTTCTAGGATTAAGATAGTACCTGGCTGCAGTGGTTAAAATGCTATTTTGATGAGTAGTTACCTGAAGTAGATCCTTTTCTTTCTTTCTATGATGATAAAACATGCTAGCCATTAACTCTGCCTCATGAGGGTGTATTTCTGTTCATGGGGCTTTGGGCCCCTTTCCTAACCAAGTCAACCTGTGTGCCTAGCATAGTGTTAAGCGCTATACAGAATATGAATAGCGTAACATGGTTTGTGCTCACGAAGAGCTTATAATTTTGATAGCATTACCACGGGATAAATTGCAGGCATTACTTTCTTTTCTGGACTTCCATGTATTAGGCAGTGCAGTTTAATATGAATATTAAGGACTATTGTTTCCATATCACATCCTGATAATCTGTACAGCTAGATTGTTTTCCCTTCTGAACCTTCCCCAACTCTGTTTTAATGGAACTGTTTGGTTTCTTGATTGTTTTGTAATAGTGGGACACAGCAGGCCAAGAAAGATTTCGAACAATCACCTCCAGTTATTACAGAGGAGCCCATGGCATCATAGTTGTGTATGATGTGACAGATCAGGTAAGTTCCAAGAGAAGATGGTGTTACAGTGACAAAGCATGAAGTTACTATTTGACTAATGTCAGATTCTTTTACTTTAATATAAGACATCAATATTATTTTTATGGCAGAAGATTTTCCTCACTTTGGCACAGTAGTGCATGTTTGTTAATCCCAGTTGCCTAAGCAACTTTGTGAGTCCTGTCTCAAAAAATAAAAGGCTGGAGATGTGGCTCAGTGGCTAAGTACTTCTGGGTTCAATCCCTGATATTTAAAAAGGCCACAACTCTCTTCAAATAAAACTGTGAATCATGGACTGGGATATAGCTCTGTGGGAGAGCTCTTATCTAGCATGCTCAAGGTCCTGGTTTGATTCCTAGTACTGCCCTGTCTCCCCCAATGAATCATTTAGATATTTATTTACCTTTAGTAAATAGACAATTTAGTAATTATTTTTACATTTACTTTCAAGAGACTCTGGCAGTCATTATCAACTATAAATAAATGATCTAAGGTGAGAATTTTAGGGAATTATGGCTTGTATGGTTTCTTGTATTGCAATCTTCATTTTATATATTAACCAGAATACCTGGGGCTGGGGTTGGGACTCAGTGGCAAGTGCTTGCCTCGCACATGTGAGGCACTGGTTTGATCCTCAGCACCACATAAAAATAAATAAAATAAAGGTATCATGTCTGTCTACAACTAAAAGAATATTTAAAAAACAAAGAAACAATAATATACCTGGTGATTAGACTCTTCCTATCAGAATTGCCAAAAGTGAGATGTGTTGGTTATGGTTCAGAATTTGAATGGAATATGCTATAGGAGGATTTTAGTAGAGTGAATGTCTGAAAGAAATCAGGAAGATGTGGGGAGAATGTGGTCCACGGGCCATTAAGTTTTCTTTTGATCAGAAACTTAGCAGATTTCAGGATCACTTTTTTTTTTTCCCCTATGAGAAAGAATAAAAACCTAATAAAATTGGAGTTCATTTTCCTTTATTTGTGGCAGGCCCTTGTGCATGCTAGGCAAGCATTCCACTACTGAGCTAGTTACATTCCCAGCCCTGGAATTCATTTTTCTTGTAGCAAATGCTAAATCTTAAAATCTCATCTCAGCTATGAATTAAGGAGATATTTTACACTTAGATTCAGATTCAGTGCCATTAGAAGCATAGAGAAAAAATGTTATGTGGCACAGCACCCACCTGCAGTCACAGATACTAGGAGGGGTTAAAGTGGGAGGTCAATAATTTGGGGACAGCCTGAGCAACATAGCAAGATTCTATCTCCAGAAAACCTGGGGAAGAGTGCTAAGTTCGAAAGTCTCTTCAAATTACTGAGATGTTTAAAAAAAAAAAAAAAGAATATTTTTTGCTGGAGATCAAACCCAGGACCTCATATGTTAGGCAAGCCCTCTATCACTGAACTACAGTCCCAGCCCAAATAATTATTTTGGGGGTACTGGGAATTGAACTCAGGAGCACCACACCACTGAGCTTCATACCCAGCCCTTTTTATTTGGGTATTGAACTCAGGGCCCTCTTTTGTATTTTATTTAGAGACAGGATCTGAGTTGCATAGCCTCTCACAGTTGAGGCTGGCTTTGAACTTGTGATCTTCTTGTCTCAGCCTCCCAAGCTGAGATTATAGGTGTGCGCCACTGCACTGGCCCAAATAGCATCTTTTGATGCATCTGGGAGTAATACTTAACACTTATTCATAAATCAAAACTTTATATTGAATTTCAAAAACTATGCTTTATAGTACATTCGATTTGCACATCTCAAAAACAATTTGGGTTTGCTAGTTTAAATGTTAAGCTGTATTTTCCTCTATTAATATTTTTATATTTAAGCCTGTCCAGAATTGTATGTATGATCATTCTTAAAAATATCTGTCTGTTTTAGGAGTCCTTCAATAATGTTAAACAGTGGCTGCAGGAAATAGATCGTTACGCTAGTGAAAATGTCAACAAGTTGTTGGTAGGGAACAAATGTGATCTGACCACAAAGAAAGTAGTAGACTACACAACAGCAAAGGTATGTTTAAAGTTTGATTTTCAAATTGAATTTGAAGTTGAATTTTAATTATGAATGGATATGAAGTCACATGATGGCCATACAGCCAACCACCTTAATGCTTAAAAATGTGTACTAGGATACTGACAACAATTGTACATGTAGTGTCTTTGGATCCAGTGAAATTTTAGACTCTCCTCACTCCCATTTTATATGGCAGAAATGGACTGAGTGAAAAAGGTTTTTCAGTGTTCATTGTGTCTAATTTCTCTTAGGAATTTGCTGATTCCCTTGGAATCCCATTTTTGGAAACCAGTGCTAAGAACGCAACGAATGTAGAACAGTCTTTCATGACGATGGCAGCCGAGATTAAAAAGCGAATGGGCCCTGGAGCAACAGCTGGTGGCGCAGAGAAGTCCAATGTTAAAATTCAGAGCACTCCAGTCAAGCAGTCAGGTGGAGGTTGCTGCTAAAATTTGCCTCCGTCTTTTTCTCACAGCAATGAATTTGCAATCTGAACCCAAGTGAAAAAACAAAATTGCCTGAATTGTACTGTATGTAGCTGCACTACAACAGATTCTTACCGTCTCCACAAAGGTCAGAGATTGTAAATGGTCAATACTGACTTTTTTTTTATTCCCTTGACTCAAGACAGCTAACTTCATTTTCAGAACTGTTTTAAACCTTTGTGTGCTGGTTTATAAAATAATGTGTGTAATCCTTGTTGCTTTCCTGATACCAGACTGTTTCCCGTGGTTGGTTAGAATATATTTTGTTTTGATGTTTATATTGGCATGTTTAGATGTCGGGTTTAGTCTTCTGAAGATGAAGTTCAGCCATTTTGTATCAAACAGCACAACCAGTGTCTGTCACTTTCCATGCATAAAGTTTAGTGAGATGTTCTATGTAAGATCTGATTTGCTAGTTCTTCCTTGTAGAGTTATAAATGGAAAGATTACACTATCTGATTAATAGTTTCTTCATACTCTGCATATAATTTGTGGCTGCAGAATATTGTAATTTGTTGCACACTATGTAACAAAACAACTGAAGATATGTTTAATAAATATTGTACTTATTGGAAGTAATATCAAACTGTATGGTGATAAGTATTGTTTTAATTCTTATGGTTAAAGGGAAATAGAGCCTTGCATTATACTGAAAACAGCCATTTGTGTGTGCAACCAGGGCATTGTAGACCTACCTGTAGCGCAGCATCCAGTTGTTTGCTTTCTAGATTATAGACCTGATAAATGACCTAGGGCAGCTTCTGTGCTGTGTAGGGATTTAATCAATTTTAGTGGTTCAAGAAGCTCAAATTGTATGGAAAACAAGTTTAGAATGTATGCTGTCTAGCCCCACCATCTCTGATGCTTCTCTAAATAATCATTTGAAATGGCTCCACTGATCAAGAGTTTGTTAATTCATCTGTGGTAGCAGTGAAGAGCGGCACACCCTTCGTAATTGGCAAATGATCAGATAATGTGTGCTGAAGTTTCTTCCATGCTCTGAGTCAGATGTCAACTATTTTGTCCTTCACAATTGTATAACTCATGTTGGAGAGTTTAAGCATTAAAGGAGAAAGCAGGAAACTTGAGTGCCCTAATTTTAGAAATTATATCCCTAAAAATTAACTGAAAACATAAATGCTGGGTGGGAATTATAAATGAGAAAAATATATTTATTTCAGTGAAATTTTGCATGTGTGAAAATTTTGTTAAATAGGACCTTCAAGATTCTAGGGTTTGTTTTTATTTTTATTGTGGAAACCAAGTCTTTTGCTGACACTACCATTTTAAGGTGACAGAAGTCAAGGACTATTTCTTTAGGTTGAAGCAACAGCCAAAACATTCTTCACATACGGGCTTGGGATGTGGCTGTTGGCAACACATTTTATTGTGGGGTCTTTAATGAGAAAACTTAAGTTAAAAACAAGCCAAAAATTATAGTTTTTTTTTTTTAAATTTTTATTTTTCACTTAAACAGGCAATTGAAATACATGGTACAAAAATAAGTGGTAAGATTATTGTAAAAATGAAATGGACAGAATAAATATTCAATTTAATTTTCCATCTATGAGAATTTCACAATAAAATCATAGTTTACTTTGTATTATAGACGTGCTTGTTGGATCTATTCATCCTTACATAAGGCAACTGACAAAATTCCTGAAGTCACCAATAGTTATTTGGGTGAATATCTTGTTTTTAATGCTTAAAAAAAAAAAGTTTCTTTTGCCTTATCAATACAGTATAAAGTTCAGAAAATATTTTCTAAAATAGCTAAATGATACAAAACTGATACTAGACAATGTGATGCCATGCACTTTAGTTTCATACAGCAAAAGATGTTTAAATGGTCAGCTTATTCTTGGTGAGTTAGCAGAAAAACATTACATGAATTTACTTTAATATGTAAGCATATCTACAGACTTAGTTTGGGAGAACTGTAGTGTTCTTCCCCCCATGGCAGTCAAAAATTGGGACTACAACATATTTCAGCATGCTGCACTCTTTGCTTTTATGTATATACCAATAATTATGGTTTTGAGGAAAACAAATTCCCATTTCTAACCCTATTTCAAGTACAAACATTTCAAGGTTACTATGGGCCTGTTCACAAATAAAGGGAATTATCACTTGCTATGTTTTAAATATAACTGGCTGCCATAAATTAGCTTAGGTAATGAAGAGTGAGTGTTCCGAGCTGTGGCACACTCTGGGAAGTCATTACAGAGTAATAGTGATTATGGTCTGAGCAGTTAACTCGCTGTCTGCCCTTTGAATAGGAAGAAATCTTCTTTAGCATGTACATTACTTTTGCACTGTATCTCACATAAACCCTTCATGCTCATGTTTAAGTTTTAGAACAGCCCTGTATTGTAACAGTCTCTCATTTATTAGCACTTCACCCTGGATGCACAACAAAAACCCATTCCACCCTTTAGTTTTGCAACTCCACTGTGGATTCAAATTCCATTCATCATTAAGGGATGGCTACTTGAATCTAACCTGGCCAGCATCTTCCTAGGTTGAAACAATTTGTTTTTGAGTTGTAAAAGGAGGTCTCAAACTGAAGGTAAAATTAACAGTTATATTGATATTCCTCAGTGGCTAGAGCCAGGTTCAGAAAGTTTGCACCTTATTTCACACCTTATTTCAAAGAGGATGAACAAATCTATCACTTAAAACTAAGGCACCATTTTCTTGGGAAGTAGGAATTTTCAGATTCTGTTATTTTGGAATATCCTGTCAGCTGAAGCTGATGTTATTACACTGAGAATGCCACAATATGAATTCAATTGATATACTGGCCAGTTTGTTTTTATAAGGTTATCCCAACTTTTTAATGCTAATACAGACTGATTTAAGTGGCTGGGTTTAATTCATTAACAGCAACATACTCAGTGAAAGGCATGTTCCACTTTATAGCTACATTAACTAAAAGGTAAAATATGTCAGTGTATTTAAAAGTGGAGTCCACTGGGCATACCTACCTTTTTAAGAACTTATTTTTTGTGAAGCTACTATTGATTAGTGTTTTTAAAAATAGTTTTTTAGTTGTAGATGGACACAGTACCTTTGTTTAATTTTATGTGGTGCTGAGGATTAAACCCAGTGCTTCACAGGTGCAAGGTGAGTGCTCTACCACTGAGCCACAACCCCAGCCCTGAATAGTTAGTTAATTTTGAATGGTTCACTTTTCATTATTAGAACTTACAGCTATTTTCCAGTGACTGTAAAGTCTGAGAAATGTAGAAGCAGAAGCAGAAAAGTCACATTGAATAGGATCCTATTAAGGTTGTTTCTTTGATATTCATTCAATGTCAAAATAGAAACTTTTTAAGTGCCTTTTTTTTTTTTTTAAAGAATCTGCAGTCACTAGCAAAACACTGCTTTGCTTCAAAAAGCTAAAGATAATGCTTCAAATATATTTATATCCATGCATATTTTTCCCTTTTCTGACAAGGTACTTAACAGGCCAACTCCCAAGCAACAAAGAATTCCCTTTTTTCCTTTATTGACAGTTTTAGTTTCTGTAGTGAAACAGGCTGTGTGATCCTATCCATTCACTTCCCTGACCTTGCACTAGTCTTCCAAGGGAGTAGGAGTGGAGGGACAGGATCCTCCTCCCAGAGATACCCTAAGTTTGATCCTTAGCTCCTTAGCCATGCTGAAGCACAATGGCAGTTCTCTAATTCCCAGACACATTTTCTTTTACGATACTAGGCCAGGAAGGTGGAGACCCAAGCCCTGAAGATGGCAAAAGATGTCACAATTGCCCGAAGTAATCTGTAGAAGTTCTATTCATTTACCCCTTTTCTTCTGCAGACTGAGGGCTAAAATTTTCAAAAAGGAACTTACTAAGCCTCACTAGATCCCTTTTTGTGTCTGAGAATACCAAGTATTTGGAACCTTCTTTCTCAAAGCAGCCTTCTGTGAATAATCTCAGCAGGAAGAAGAGTTTAGGAGCTTTGTCTTTTTTTTTTTTTTTAAACTGGACATAGGGGAGGCAAGGCCTGTAACTGTAAATCTTATTTTAACAAAAGTTGCAAAGCCACATGCTTTCTGTGGAAAAGCACCAAAAAGAATATAGTTTGGAAGGATTCTTTGTAAATAAAACCAGTAATTTAATAGCCCTTACTTCAGAGAAGAGAGGCATTTAAAGCTAAAAATATATTAACATTTTTCCCTTGACTTAACTGTTAAATGGCTCTTGCAAGTACTTCTTGACAGTTTCCTTCCCAAGAGTCAGCTTTTGGCTGACAATTTCATCTCTGCCTGAGAAGATGCCTGAAAGAGAAAGCAGCATTTGTTACAGGCATAATGTTGCAGGAAGAAATAACAGCAATCACATGTATCCATTTCAGAACTAAGATAATTACTAAAATTGCTTTGATGTAAAAATGCAGGGACTCCCTGCTCTTGACATAGCTACAGTGAATTCACATCTAGAAAATCATTTTGTAGGAGAGGAAATTTCAGAAAAAAAGTTGTGAAATTACGATGTTCTGGGCAGTGCAAACCCACGGTTGGTACCAGTTAGCCCCTCTTTTGTTTTATCTCCTTTCCTCTTTCCCTATTTGAGTTTTCAAGGGATAAAAAGAAAGTTGTACTATGTAAGTCTCCAAGATGTGTTTTATTCTGTCCCCCAGCCCTTTTGGAAGGAGTAGTGTGGGAAATTTGCAGAAACCCTTTGAGGCAAGGGGGTTGGGACATTGGGAGAGGTAGCAGTAACTCTAGGTTTCCATGGGCACTTAGTGCTGTCAGCGATGCTTAAAGATGCAGCATCAAATAAGATGGTGAGAAGAACCTGAGGGCAGAGGCAACCTGGCCACAGCCTCATAACAGAGAGGCGTTCATGTGCAGAAACAAAGTTAAGTATGGACAATTTTGCTGCTGGGGGCTAGGACTGGGGAAGGTAATGCAATAAAGATGGGTGCACAGAGCACTTTTGTTCTCAGCCAGCAGCAGGAGTGAAACCAGGTAAGGAGGACACCAAAATGGGCTTTCGTTGCTACAGGAAAACTCACACCCTCCTTCCGGGCTGTGTTAGTGACCCCTATTTCAGCACCACAGGCAGCCTTCCTCCAGTACTATTTCAGCAGCTCTCATCCCTAATCAGCACCGGGGCTGCAGGGCAGACTTTCTCCTTGGGCTCCTCTACTTACCGGGTTAAATTCCTTCACATGGACGCTCCTTTGCTGTCACTGGCTTACTGTCAGGGATAAGGGTGCAGCCAGCCAGCATGTCCACAGAGGCCAAGATAGAGTCATAAAGGCGATCTGCATGGCTCTCCAGCTCCCCAGATTGCTTTGCGATCCTCCCAAGGACATCCTTTAAAACTAACAATGAAGTTATACAAAGATACAGCATTCTGCTTGAAATAGGGCTGTAGCAGTAGTTTCAGAATGCCCACCCATTTTATTTTTTAAAACAGTGATGTTCCAAGGACTTCTGCAGCACTGTTAATTTTTAATGAGGGTCTGTTAATGTTTGTTGTGTTGTTTTGTCGTTGCAGTATTGGATAATTAACTACCTCTGAGTACTTCCTCAACCCTTTTTATTATTTTGAGATAGGGTCTTGCTAAGTTGCCTAGACTGACCTGGAATTTGGAATCCTCCTGCCTCAGCTTACCATGTAGCTAAGATTACAAGTGTGTACCACAACACCTGGCTATATTATTAACTTTCAGTTAAAGCTAGTAGTTTACCAGCTGTACTTTGGAATTACATAATTGACAATAGGGCACACAGATATGGCTTTCTGTTAGATAGTATAATTTAACTTTAGAGATGAGATCAGGCACATAAAGCTTAAATATAAAAACATGCCAAGATAAAAATGCTGATGCTACCAGCTCCTATCAACTTCTGTTGGCTTGAAGACTGACATTTCATATATGAGTGATTTGGTAATGTATTAGGGGATGCTTATGAACCCTTCTGTGGGTCCTAAGTGAACAGACTTAAAAAGAAAATGATCTGAGAGTAGGCTAGGACAAAATCATTAGGCTGGGCTTCACTCCTACAGCGGTGCTGTGGATGGGCTTTATATATAGCCAGAGTATTTAATGCACAGCAGAATTTTTCCTTCAAAAGATAAAAAAAAATTTAAGCACAAAGGCTGCCTTAGCTTCCGGTGCCTTTATCAGCTGTGTTAACATGCTTTCTGGTTTCCTGCCACAGCTACAACATCTGCCAACAGAGGAAGGGAAAGGGGAAGCTGCATGCCTTCAGACATTGCTGACTGGATGGGCAGAAGGAGGAATATAGAGTGGCTGTGTTGAGATCTTTCCCTGGGGAAGCCGCAGAGTGCCATGTCATCAGGGCAATGAGCTGTTCTGACAACTCTAGAGAGCTGGCGTGGCGGAGATGTGCAGTAAAGCTTGGTCATAAAGGTGGCTGAGCTGGGTGTTTCCCCTCCACCTTCAGACTTTGCTCAGCCTTCCTGCGTGCTGTCAGTGGAATTCAGGGGAACTTTTTGATTATTATTTAATCTTTGACTATAGGGGCCAAGGAAAAGAGAAGCTAGAAAGGGAAATGAAGTACAGAATAATTTCCCAGTAGGATTTTTTTTTTTTTCAGTATTGGGGATAGAATCCCGGGGTATTCTACTACTGAGCTGCATCCCCACCCTTTTATTTTGTATTTTGAGATAGAGTCATGCTGGTCTTGAACTTGTGATCCTCCTTCCTCAGCCTCCTGGGACATTGGGATCACAAGGCATGTGCCAACACACTCACCTCTAACTTTTGTGTTTTAACTGAATACAAACAGGGGCCTTGTACAGCTTAACATTAACAGGTTCCAGTCATTTGACCAGTTATAAGGGTTGAGATGCAAGACAGAACTGTCAATCTGTACAAGTAACTGGGTAAAAATGTGGAGGCCTTTGGCAGGAGGCTTAGATGGGCAACTCTTTAAGGGAAAATCTCTTGGGTTATACTTGGAGTCAAGTAAGAAAGTGGGCTGTGAAGCTGGGTGGGAGTGGGCATGTGCTGGCCTCTGCTCACTCTGATAAGGTGCTCCTGGAGGAAGAAAAGTGTGAAGTGTTTGTGATTTTCACAAAACAGCCAAGCGTTCTGATTATTCCAGGCAGAGGACAGGGAGGGGCATTGTACCAATCTGAAAGAGCCTGGATACATATCCAAGAACCATAGATTCTAACTGAAAGCCTCCTCTTCTGGCCAATACTACCCCAGGATCCCTTCTGAGAGCAGGGTCAAGTTCTTATTAGAGGGGTGTTCTTATTAGAGGCTAGCTACTGAAAACTACTGGAAAACTCTTTAAAGCGAAGGTCATTCACTTTACAGAGGCCTACTTTCACATGTGGCCTCTGAAAAGAGGCTCCTGCATTTGAGCTTTCCCTGCTCAGGCCTCACACCTCCAGACACTGACAGCAGTATAGAGTCAGCACATCGGGGCTGCCTGAGGCAAATTCACAATTCTGTAAGGTAATAATAGCATCTATCTCACAGAGCTGTGATTAAATGAGGGGAAAAAAAAGATATGACAACTGTTTCAGCCCATGCTAAGTGTTCAGTAAAATGCTGGTGTAGTTACAGCAGCAAAGGAGCTTGGCATGCTTTTGTGCTCCAATATAAAACCTAAAGATCCTAGTTTAAGGGAACCAGGGAAGAGCCAAAGGCCTTAAAGGGGCAGAGAATTGCAAAGGGTTCACATAACTCACAAGAGATAATCATTTTCCTATGTAAACCCTTTAAGGGTCACGGTCCATCAGAACCCCTCTGCTGATTCACAGGTACTTCCCAGGGTACCACTGAATATCTGCAAGTGCTGCCAGTTGTCACACTGTGGGAGTAGAAGGGCTTACTGGTAGTTAGTGGGGTCAGGGATGCTGCGAAACATCCTGCAATTGCATAGGGAAAACCCTCTATAACATACAGCAACTGTGCTGGGGTTGAGAACCTAGGTCTACACTACCTCCCTAGTCTACACCCACTACTCTGTTAAAAGTGCCTTAAAAAAAAAGTGCCTTCTCAAGCTCCTGGGGTCTTGCTCAGCTTTTCGTACTCTTGGATTCCAGTATAAATCTCATCTCACTCCAAAGCTCAAGCAAAAAATAGATGAGATCTTAAAGCAATTGTTTGTACATAGTTTTACAGGAAATTAGGGACTACTTTGTGGAGTTCCCTCAGTTCAAGGTTTTAACCTCCATATCACACCTCTTCCCCTATAAGGACAAAGATGTGTGTAAAACTGTAGGCACCTGGTACACTCAGACCTTCTCTTCTTTTTTGGCACTGGGGATTGAACCCAGGAGTGCTTTACCACTGAACTATATCCTCATCCCTTTTTGAGACAGGGTCTTGCTAAGTTGCTGAGGCTGGCTCTGGACTTGTGATCCTCCTGAATCGCAGGAGTGCACCATCACGCCCAGCTAGGAGTCCTCTTAGTCTCTGATTCTCACAACACCAGTTGGGAACTCATCCTGCAAAATGGGTTTGAGCTTGGTTTGCATGCCACTGCCACCCCATTCCCTTTCATCAGTTTAATTCTTCATTCAGTCTAATCCATGAGAATAGATTATTCTCAAGTCCTTTTGGTCAAGGATTTCTGGAACAATTCCTTCCCTAAAGTAGAAAATAAGGCAGAAAAACCAGAATTCAACCTGAGCTGAGTAAAGTGGGGAACCCCTGAGTGTTACCCACTGAATACTCCAGCCACAAATTAAGGATTGTTAAGAATACAACCACGATTCCCATCCAGAACACTACCAAGAAACTATATAAGCAAATGAGCACCATTCTTGCAAACTTAAGCTGGTTTTCTGACAGATTTACTTTTAATGACAACTGCCTCAACCTGGGTTTGCATGGCAATGATGACATAAAGAGCTGGCAGAAGTCCCCATGTGACTCTTAAGGCGGGTGGGGGTGGTTCCTGCAACATTGTATTCTCACCAGGCTGCTGCTGAGAGGGATTAAGCTCTAGCTAAATTAAAAGCTCAAGCAATAAACTGGGCACAGATGCACATGCCTACAATCCCAGCTATTCTGGATGCTGAGGCAGGTGGATTTCAAATTTGAAGCCAGCCTGGCCAACTTTGAGCCCTGCCAAATTAAAATGAAAGGACCGAAGATATAGATCAGTGGCAGAATGTTTGCCTAGCATGTGTGAGACCCTGGGTTTAATCCTTAAGACTGTAAACAAAATAGAAAAAAAAAATCATTAAAAAAAAAAAAAACCTCAAGCACAAAAACATACTCATAGACCCAATGGAACAGAATTGGGAACTCAGAAATCTACACATAGATCTACAGTCAATTTTTGACAAAGGCAGCAAGAATACTGGTGAAAGTCTCCTCAATTGGTACTGGGAAAACTGCAAATCCACATGCAGAATACTAAAACACAACCCTTGTTACAAAAATCAACCCCAAATAGATCAAAGACTTAAACATAGACCTAACACTATGAAACTACTAGAATAAAACATGAGAAAAGGCTTCAGGACATTGGTCTGGGCAAACAATTTTTGGATATGACCCTAAAAGCCTAGGCAATAAAAGCAAAAACTGACAAACAGGATTACATTGACTGAAAAGTTTCTGCACAGTGAAGGAAAAAACAGAATGAAGAGACCTACAGAATGGAGAAGGTATTTGTAAACTAGTCATCTGACAAGGGATTAACTCACAAGTATAAAAGGAATTCAAATAATGACAACAAAAAACCCAAATAATCTGATTTAAAAATGGGTAAATGACTGAGTGTTGACATTTTTAAAAAAGATACACAAATGGCAAGAAATATACAAAAAAATGCTCAATATCACTTATCATGAGGGAGATACAAATCATAACCACCATAAAATAAAATTTCACTGTAGTTAAATGACCATTATCAAAAAGACAAAAAAATTAAAGGTGAATATTTGGAAAAGGGGGAATACTCAGATAATGCTGGGTAGGAAATGTAAATCAGCAGAGCCACTATGGAAAATAGTATGGAAGTTCTCAAAAATCTAGAAACAGAACTGCCATGTGATTCAGCAACCCTACTACTGTGTATACACATCCAAAGGAAAGGAAATCAGCAGGTCAGAGACACCTGCACTCACATGTTCACGTTCATCACATTCATAATACCCAAGATATGGAATCAACCTAGGTGTCCACTGGTGGATGAATGGGTAAGGAAAGTACATTTATAGAGTGGAATATTGAAAGCATAAAAAAGAACAAAAGTCTGTCATTTTATATTCATGGATAGAATATTAAGTGAAATAAGTCAGATGCAGACAAATTCTGGGGGCTGGGGTTGTGGCTCAGTTTTAGGGAGCTTTCCCAGAGTTTATGACACCCTGGATTGGATCCCCAGCTCCACAAACACAAAGAAAACAAAAACAACCAAACAACAAAAACCTGATTCTGCATGTTCTCATTATGTAGAAGTTAAAAGGCAGATCTTACAGAAAGAGAGGTATCTCTAATCATAGAATGATTAATAGTTCTGGAGTGCGGCTGGATAGGAGAAATAATTTCTCCGGTTTTGCAGTGCCAAGAATTAAACCTAGAGCTTTGCTGTGCCACTAGGCTATATATCCCCAGCCCCACTTCAGAAGTGTTCTATAGCACAGAAAGATAACAATGGTTGACAATAATTAACTGTTTATTTCCAAATAGCTTGTACAGAGGATTTTAAATGTTCCTAACACTAAGAAATGATAAATGAGATAACCAATATACCAATCCTGATCTGGTCATTCCACATTGTACACATGTACTGAAATGTCACACTGTATCTGATAAACAGGTACAACTGTATGTCAATCAAAAATAAAAAAAAATAGGTTAAACAATAATCTCTCAAGCATCTCACCTGGTGTGTTCTCCAATAGGCACTGAAGAAGAATCTCCCCCTTCTGTAAGACACTGTCTGTCAGGAACTGATGTTCATCTATATCATTCTTAAATTGCTTAAGACATATAGGAAAAGAAAAGGGAAAACAAAACTTCACTACTAATGTTTTATAAAACTTAAATGAACACCATGCAAAGTGGCTTGAGTCATCTAACATGGAAGATATCACTTGGTCTGCAGAATTCCTCAAGTAAAGAGTGTACTAGTTTAAGTTCATCTTCCTTGAGCCTAATTTTTTTTTTATTCTGTTTAGTTTGACAAGAGTTTTCCCTGACTGAGGCTGGCTCATGAACAGATTTATTGTTGTGCCCTATTTTATGGGGTTCTCATCAACTCACAATAGTATGGGTTTCCCAAAATAAACTCTTCTCTACTGGACCTGATAAGTAAGAATAAGCAATGTGGCTAGTGACCTCTGGCAGCTTCGGCGTCCACCTCAGGGTAACTGCCTCGACCAGGGAAGTGGCAAGTTTCCCAAGCAGCTCATCTGTTTTGCCCTCACAGCTACCAAACTTTGTAGTCAATTGTTTTAATCTTTTTTTAGTTGCTAAGAAATGTTAGGTCAAAACTATGACCACCTTTAATCCATGGGACATAATTCGGTGCTTAGTTTTGTTTTTCTTTTTTTTCCCCTTAGGTACTACAGATTAAGTCCAGGGGCTCTTAACCACTGAGCCACAACCCCAGCCCTTTTTATTTTTTAAGACAGAATCTCACTAGATTGTTGGGGCTGGTCCTGAACTTGTGATTCTCTTGCCTCAGCCTCCGAAATTGCTGGGATTATAAGCATAAGCCTCCATGCTCAGCTTGGTGCTTAACTTTTTTTTTTTTTTTTAATATTTTTTAGTTATAGTTGGACACAATATCTTTATTTATTTTTACGTGGTGCTGAGGATCGAACCCAGGGCCTCACACGTGCTAGGCGAGCACTCTACAGTTGAGCCACAATCCCAGCCCCTGGTGCTTAACTTTTCGAGCCATAATTTCACTCTTGGATTTACTTTTTTCCTGGTTTCAGTCTTCTTCTACCCTGATATCCACTGAGTTAAGATAGGCAGAGTATGGGAAAGGCCTAAGTTAAAATATGGGAACACAGAACTGGGTGTGGTGGCTCCTGTCTGCAATTCCAGTGATTTAGGAGGTTGAGGCAGGAGGATTACAAGTTTGAGGTCAGCCTGGGCAACTTGGCAGGACCCTGTCTCAAAATAAAAAAAATAAAAGGGCTGGGCCACTTCATACAAACCTAAATGTCAACAAAATTTGTTTCTGTGACATACTGAAGAAACGTGACCTGCAAGCACATACAGGGTCTGGGATCCCAGACTCTTTTAATGAACTTGGCAAGTGTTCAGATTTATTCTGTCAACATGGAGAATCTGTGAAGTACTAGGGGAAATATTCTTGGCTTTACTCAAGAACACACTAATGACTGTATATTCCAATGTCCTCTTTCTGCCTCAAGAACTCAATGGGCTTATTTGTCACATCACACAAAATTCTATGGTAATTGTAATTGTAAAAATAAAATAAAAGGGATGGGGACATAGCTCAGTGAGAAAGCATCACTGAATTCAATCCCCAACAGGGCTCTCCCCCTCAAAAAGCCATACCCACAGCTGCCACCTTAAAAATAAGTAAATCAAATATGTGAACATGCACACTTGCTTATAATAGTTGGAATTTTTTTTTAATACTGGGATTTAACCAGGGGTGTTTTATCACCTAACTACATCCCCAGCCCTTTTTATTTTTTGTTTTGAGGCAGAGTCTTGCTAAGTTACCCAGGCTGGCCTCAAACTTATGGTCCTCCTGCCTTAGCATTACATCTGGATTACAGGCATGTGCCACCATGTTGGTTTGGCCTCCAACTTTTCAAGGCCTCAGCCTCAGAGTAGCTAAAATTATAGGTGAGCACCACCTTGCCCCTTTTATACTAAGTCTTTTTTTTTTTTTTTTTTAGAATTTTTTAATATTTTATTTTTTAGTTTTCGGCGGACACAACATCTTTGTTTGTATGTGGTGCTGAGGATCGAACCCGGGCCGCACGCATGCCAGGCGAGCGCGCTACCGCTTGAGCCACATCCCCAGCCCCTATACTAAGTCTTGATTTAAGCAGGAGCCAAGGTTAACTCATACATATATGTGAGCCACACAGTATTCTGTGTGGGGAAGGGGTTCAGTGCAATCTCACTTTGTGACAGTTGTGTGACACAGGCTTAGGCCTCACTGACTTGCAGGAGTAACTCCTAGCTCAGATCTCAACTGTACTCACAAAGCAAGATAGTTGCTGGAAGTGAGGTGCAGAGAATGGCATGAGGGATAAAATGAAGGGAATGGGGTTAGCCTAAATGCACCTGTTAATGACAGGCTAGGAAAGACCATTGAGGTAAGTCTAACAGGGCATTTCCTCTTCTCTACAGATATATGCAACGTGGGGTCATGGAGTCGGCTTACAGAGGACCCTGAGACTCAGCCTTCTTCAAGCTCTTTCTGGAACTCAGGCTACCTCTCTCCACAGTGCAGTAAATAACATTCCTGAGGGTGGAGCAGCTGGCCTGCTTGCCAGATTTTGGTTGGCTCAGAGATAGAAAACAAAGGTCCTCCCTTCAGCCTGGGTGTGGTCCCAGCCAGGCTCTGAGTCAGGGTGGTGCAGCCTGAGGAACTTGTAAATCACGCCCTCTTCTGTCGAAGTTAATGTCAGGTTTTAAGGTTGTACAGATTTAGAGAAGACCCCTTCTAGATTGCCATCAGACTCAGAACACAAATGCTGTCTCTGCCCCTCAGGAAGAAGTTACGAAGGCTTGGCCAACCAGAGATTAAATGTATTAGCTGCTTAACAGAACATTCTGGGAGGCTTGCTTATTTATTTATTTATTTTAACCAAAGTATTTCCACAAAATTTTTTTGTTTTGTTCTTGGAGTACTTCTTACTCTCTACTGTATCTGAATCTATTTCTTTAGAAAGAGAGGTCTTTAATCTCTCTTTCTAAAGAAAGCCCTCTATGATCCCTCTCCCTCCCTCAGTTAAAAAGGTAATAGGTTTGTCTAAAAAGATGGAGATGCTGGCCCCAGGAGGTAGAGGTTCCCTTTGATGTAACAGTGACTCAGATAAGAAAGGCCAGGTTGTTTAGAAGAGGGGGAAATCCCGAAATCTCTGACCTTTGTCCTACTGTATCCCTTTCCCCTCTCATAAAAGCTTTCCATTCTCCAAAGATGGTCTTTTTTTTTTTTTGAATATTTATTTTTTAGTTTTAGGTGGACACAATATCTTTATTTTACATTTATGTGCTGGTGAGGATGGAACCCAGTGCCTCATGCATGCTGGGTGAGCACAATACCACTGAGCCACAACCCCAGCCCCCCAAAGATGGTCTTTGAGACAGAAAGGTCTTCTCTACCCTCATCTTCTTTATCCTACTCAAAACTGGTTTAGAATAAAACCTGCTTTTCCCTCACCAACCTTCCCCCTGAGTTTTAGTGGAGCCTGATTAGCAGTAAAGTCTTTTCTCCCTGGCTTCAGGATAAAAATTACATAATTTCAATATGCTTAATCCCATTCAATATGCTTACCCTAGGATCAAGTTAACTGGATCTCACAAAGAGGTATTTTTAAAAGAATGGAATCTTAATGAAAAGGAGGTAACCTCCCCCCCAAAAAAAGCCAAACCCAAGCCCAAAGACACACAGAAGCAAACTGATATCAGATTTTTGTTTAAATCTGCTTTATCTGAATGCCCTGTTAACATTCTGAAGTCAGGAAAATTTCAACTCAGATACTTAAAAATAATAAAGCCCATCAGAACTTCTGAGATGGAATGTTCTGTATCTGTACTGTTTGGAGTGGTAGCCACCAGCACTGGGAATGCAGCTAATGCAAGTGAAAAATCTTAATTTCAACAGTCATCCGTGATTGGTGGCTCTGTAACAGTGCAGGCCAATAATTATAAACCCTGAGATATTTGGAAAATTATAATGCAGAACACCCTGAAGTATTTACAGTGTATATTTTCTTAATTCTATTTGGCCTGGGAATCAATTCATTTATTTTAAAAAGTTTTTTTTTTTTTTTTTTTTTTTTTTTGTACTGGGGATTGATCTCAGGGACATTTGACCACTGAGCCACATCCCCAGCCCTTTTTTGAATTTTATTTAGAGAATGTGAATTGCTTAGTCCCTCGCTGCTGCTAAAGCAGCAGATCCTCCTGCCTCAGCCTCCGGAGCTGCTGGGATTACAGTCCAGCTCATTTTACAAAGTTTTACACTTAGAATTTGAAAAGCCCCTCTGATTAGTTTCAGCTATAATTGAGCTACAACATATTAGGCATCAGTTATTTGAGACTTTATTTTGTGATTAAGTGCTTTTGCAATCACTCTTAGAAAGTAAAAAGGCCAGAAGCCAGGACCACACATTACCCGGTAAAGCTGCAGGGAAGACTTGAGACCTGTAAGACTAGACCTGGATGGAGACCCAAGGTTAATGACATCTGAGACATCATATAGCCAGCGGATCAGCTCTTCCAGCTGACAGCAAAACGCCTGCAGAGACAAATAAATGAACACACGGTATTAGTGACTGAACTCCTATTTGTAATCAAAAGGCTAAAAATATCAGGATGGCTCTGGGAATGGTGTGCACCTCTCAGAGCTTTCCTTCAGGCTCCTCTCTCTCCGTCCCCTGCCTGTTCCCATCCCATGATGCCAGACCTTCCTCTGCCAGAGCAATGAGAAGCCCCTCTTGATTCTGTCTCCCTTTAGTCAGATGTGACACCAAATGAGAGACTAAGAAAAGCCAGCCCCTGCAATGGGAGTGAACTGTAAAGGCAATGGATTGGACAGCCGAGAAGAGCAGGTCTGTCCTGGAAACCAATTCTTGGGATAGCACCATTACTATCAAACCGTTTCTAAGGGAACAAATCTTGACCAACGTGAACCCATTGCTGAAAACAACTTTTACCTCATGCTATCTCCATCTTTTACCACAAAAGATAACATGTCCAATAACCTTGGTCCTACCTGCTACCCAGGACAAAGAAAATAACACATGTGACTTCAGGCAGGTTAAAACCCTCCACGAGTGCTAGGACATGTGGGTAGCATGGGCTCACAGGCCGAGGGCCACGCTGCAGGCAAGCATCCTTCTGCCACCTGGTGGGGAAGGAGGGCAGAGGGATGCCCAGGGAGTGGGGAAAGGAACATTCCTGAACCTTTCCCGGGTGTCGGTAACTGCACAAAGTCCTGATGTGAATTATTTAATTTAATCCACACAATATCCCAAAGAGGCAGGGCTCCACATTTCCCAAAAAAGCAAACTCAAGGGACTGAGCCAAAATCCCAGAGGCAGCAATGCCATGATTTACAGTCCAGATCTGCCTGACCATTAGCAATCTATTCCATCCGGTATTGATCACATCTTCAGTTTTTTTTTTGTGTGTGTGTGTGGTACTGGGGATTGAACCCAGGGCCTTGAGCATGCAAGGCAAGTACTCTACCAACTCAGCTCCATCTCCAGCCCCACATCTTCAGATTCTAACAGGCAGCCAATGAAAGGTTCAGTGGCCGAGAAGTCTAGGACATGGGACATCTAACACCCCTTACTTTGTGGAGTACACCACTGTGGCAGAGGAAGCGCTGAGAAGTCCTGCAGTTGAGAGAGCTGCTACCTTTGTAAAGCCCAGGGTTTCCTAAGGGCACCTGCACAGGAACCCTTTGTGCAGGATACCTGAGAGGAAAAGCAGCCAGGGCTAGTGGTTTGGAGTCAGGATCTGCAGGGTCCACCTGGGTCTGATTCCTGGCATTAGTCCTACACACTCTGCCTTCTTCTCCAAACACCAAAATGATAACAGTACTTATGGGGTAAGAGTTTTTTTAAAAATATTTTTTAGTTGTAGATGAACACACAGTATCTTTATTTATTTTTATGTGGTTCTGAGGATAGAACTCAGTGCCTCCCACATGCGAGGCAAGCGCTCTACCACTGAGCTACAGCCTCAGCCCAAGAATTTTTTCGAAACACACACACAAAAAAATTTTTTTTTTTTAGTTGTGGTTAGACACAATACCTTTATTTTATTTATTTATTTTTATGTGGTGCTGAGGATTGAACCCAGTGGCTCGCATGTGCTAGGCGAGCGCTCTACCGCTGAGCCACAACCCCAGCCCCAGGAATTGTAAGAACTAAATAAGGTGCAGCACAGTGCCGGGAACGTGAAAAGTACCAGTCATTGTCAGCAAGTTTTATTGTGAAGTCTGTGGACTGGGGAAGAAGACAAGAAACCCTCCGTCCCCGCCCTGCCCCAGGTCCTTACCTGCACACACTGCACCAGGGAGGCTTTCCTCTGCTCTTTTCTGGGATCCTGCCTTTCAGCATCTGGGTCTGAGAATGGCCACCTGTCCAACAAAGCTGGCAAGGAGGGGTGTGTTTTCAGCAGTCTAGAGGAGACCCCAAGCATCCGGCTGCTCACCAGATTGCCTTCCCCTGCCGAGTCTCGGGCCTGGACAAAGTTGTGCAGGCAGCAGTGGTTCTGTCCCTTGGGGCATCCAGGTCCTTGGACAATAGTGCCAGAAGGAAGCTGGCTCTGGCTGGAGTCCGATGGAAGGGAAGCTGGCCCATCAGTGTCTGAAACTTCCAGGGAACTCTGTCCCTCAGTGACTCCAGAGGGCAGGCTCACCAAGGTGGGAATGGCATCTAGATAGGAAACCAAACTAGAAACCTGTGTCAGCCGAGTGGGCAGGGCAAGAAACTCGTCATCATTCTCCACCTCTTCTTCTGATTTCCATCTAGACTCCATGTAGGCAGGGCGCCGGACACTGTGGCAGGCCCTCTTCTCTCTCTCTGGCCTGGGTGAAGGACACCTTCTGTCCCTTGTCCTCAGCTGTGGAGAACCGCCCACCTCGAGGTGTTCACCCACAGGAAGCCGATTCTTCACGCCCCTCAGGGCTGTCTCTCTGCTCTCCCAAGAGGCATCTCTACTTCCTGGGACTTTAGGGGTGGATGCAAGTTGGCTCCAAGATGCCAGGCTCATGCTGCACTGCTTCTGGGACACTTCAGAGGGCCACTGCTTAAGGCTTGGCTCTCTGGGCCCAGAAAATGGCAAGGTAGGGGCCTGTGCTGGTGGGCAGTTGGGGGAGACATTAGTGGGTGATTTTAGAGTACTTGCTGGAGAGACAGAGAAGCTATCCAGGTCTATACCTGAGTCCTGCAGGACAGGGTCAGCTGGCACATGGCTATCAAGTTGCTTTGGGAGCTGAGGCCCAGGCCTCAGGGGGTAAGTATAGTCCAGCAGGTCTTCGTACTCTCTATTTGGGTTCCAGAGCGGGGAGTGGCGATCAGGGGAAGGAGGCAAGGAATCTGGAAGCACACAGGCCCAGTACTCAGCCTGGAAGGAGAGGTGCCTCCGGCCCAAGCCAGCAGCATCATACCCAGAAGCTGCAGACTGTGATGACCACTGGAGCTGAGGCCCTGACCCCACCAGAGAAGGGGGATTCTGAGGGACAGCCAGCTCCAGGGAGGAGGGGATCTTGGTAAGGGAGCCATTCTGGGTTTCCACCTTCTCTTGCTGATTCTGGAGACTGCTGCCTGAGGAGGAGGCAGAGACACTGCAGCTGGATAGTTGAGGAGCAGCAGCCCCTGGGCTTATGACAGACTTCCACGGTGATGGGAAAGGGAAACGTGAGATTTGAGGCTGTTGGCTGAGCACCCAGGGGGAACCAACTGGGGAAGGGTCATCTTCAGTATCAGCCTCATGTCCTGAGCAAAGAGCTGTAGTTCTGGGCATGTCAACACTCTGAGGTAGCTCCTGGGAGGTAGAAGGCTTGGTCTCCTCCATCTGCAACAGTAAAGGACAAAGAAGCACTCGGGTGAAAATAATCAAACCCAATTTCTTTTCCCACGACAACGCAGGGAGGGAAAATATCAAAATGTAAAAGTCTGTGGCCTAAGGCAAGAAGCAGAGTGATTCAGGCTGCCCCAGCAGTCCCCCACAGCAGAGATCCCTGTCCCCAGTCCTTTCAGAAGTTCTTCCTCCATGGATGGCCAGTTTGTGAGCAAGCAAAACCCAGCTCTGTCATGCTGCAGCTAGAGAGCACTGCCCATTCTTTGAGAAGCAAGTCCTAGGTGGGCTACCTTTGATCATTATGTGGCTGACAGGAGATCCAAACCCAGCAGGCCCCACCAGGCTGCATCCTGCTCAGCTTGCTCCCCAGTGGTAGGTGAACTCTAGCAACATAGTCCCTCACCTCAGCCTCTTCACTTTGAATTTTTTTTTTTTGATTATCATTATTATTATTATTATTTTTTTTTTGGAATTTTTAATCAGCTCAGTGAAAAACTCAGCCCCCACAGAGGCAGGACAGCACAACTGTTAAGGGATGGGCTTTGGAACCCAGACCTGAACCAGTCAACTCCTAAGCTCCGCCACCTTCCAGAGCTAAGATTGAGCCTCACTTTGCTGGTGTGTAGAGTGGGGAGGGTAACAGCACTGCCCCTTCAAGAAGAAAGGGTCACTGAACTCTTGGAGCAAAGCACTTGGGAAGAGCCCAGGTACTACCTCGATAAGCAAACTCACTCAGTGAAGTGCCCAATTCTGTGCTGGCTGACTTACCACCAGCCCCACCACATCAGCTCAGGTGCCTGTGTGTCCCAGCCCCTTGCTCCTAGTCACACTCAAGAGTCTCCCCACAGGATGGGGCCCATGGGGAAGCAAGCAGCAGCCAAGGTCACAATGACACCAAGAACATCAAAGCGGGTTGGGGATATAGCTCAGTTGGGCGAGTCTTGCCTCCCAAGTATAAGGCCCTGGGTTCAATTCCCAGCACCACAATAATAAAAAAAAAAAAAAACCAAACAAACCCAAAGCCATTCCCAGGAAAGGTTTGGCAAGCAGAATATAGAATGTCTGAACTGGAAGGGACAGATCATTAGGGTCACCCTCCAATTATAAAAAGGCCTTGAAAGATGCAGTGACGTGGCCACATTCTCAGAACCTAGTAGGATTCCCTCACTGGGTCCCTTGCAGTCAGATGCTCAAGAAATTCTCCTTAGCCATAGACAGTGCTGTCCTCCACAGGGGCTCTGACAGGTCTCCTGGTCCCAAGGGTGTGGAGAGCCATTCTCACACGTGACTGGACAACTCCTGGTTTGGGTCTGAGGCGCTCTGGCTAATCTGTGTCGGAGCTTTCCCGGCCCTCTCCTGATGAGAGAGCCTGTCCGTGTGGGGGTGTGACTGACCACTGACCCCGGGGGCCAATCACTGACCCTGACTTTGGTGTGTGGCCCCCCTCAACCTTCATTGGATGGAATTCTCCCCTGAATTTCTTGTTCCCCAATAAAAGGCTACTCCCTGGCGTGCTCCCTCTCTTTCTCTCCTGCTAGCCCTGAGTAATCCTTGCTGCCCTACCGGGTGGTTCGAGGTGGGAACCAGAGAGGGGAGCCGTCTCGGACCTGGTCATAGAAAAAGGTAGCTGAGTCTGTACGTTTTATTTTGATCTCGCTAGCTAACTTTTATGCCAAGAACCTCATTAATGAAACCAGTGCACTGGTCGCATGGTGGACAAGGGAATTCAAGTCTCAGGGCCCTCAGAAGCCCAAAATGTCCCCAGGATCCTCTTGAATCTTTCAAATCACCAACTCAGAAGAAACACAATAGGGCTCCAGTTGTCAAAGGTTCCCTGGTCTAGCCCCCTGGGCAGCAGGCTCTTGGCCATACCAGTCCTCAAAGTCAACAGTTATGCTTTTGAGGAACAGGAGATATCATGGACAGAGTGCCCTCCTGGCCTGGAGGCCTACCTCTCCAAGTGAGTTTGAGTCAGAAATCCTCATTCCCAGGCTCCTCCAACCCTCCAACCTGCACCATGGCAGGGAAAGGATGTCAGCCAGTGAGGAAATGTCCACACCCCCAAAGGATAGCACTGTGTCAACCCACAGTCCTGCTTGCCTTCCTACCTACCTGGCTTTCCACAGAGTGCAAGAGGTCTCCAGTTCCCACGCTGGCAGGAGGAAGCAGGTCACTGGGGGCAGGCCTAGACCTAACAGCTGCTCTGCTGGCAGCGTTGGCCTGTGGCAGATAAGCTCTGCAGGTGCCGGCAGGGGTAGGTAGCCCCTCCGCCCCCCACACAGGAGAGGCCGGCCCTCCTTCAGCCTCTAGGCATTGGGGCTGCTCCTGGTTCATGGACCCGGGCACATCCACCTTTTGCTCCCCACGGCTCCATCTCCCACAGGACTGGGCCTTTGCATCTGCAGATACTTCCAGCTCTGCCTTTTCTTCACCCAGGGCCATCAAGCTGTCCCTAGGTCAGGGCTCCCCTGAAGCCTTCCACTCCCTACAGAACAGGAGAAAAAAAACAAGATTTTTTTCTGTTTTTTTTTTTTTTAATCTGTGTTCAAGAAACCTTGTTTTTTGTTGTTCTTTTGTTTTTTAAAAATATTTTTTAGTTGTAAATGGATCTTTTGTTTTATTTATATGCAGTGCTGAGGATCAAACCCAGGGCCTCACACATGCCAGGCAAGTGCCGAACCACTAAGACACAACTCAACCCCAATTTCTTTTTCTTTAATTTAAAATTTAGAAATTTTTAAAATTTTAAGTTTTAGTTGTAGTTGAACACAATACCTTTATTTATTTATTTTTATGTGGTGATGAGGATCGAATCCAGGGCCTCGCACATGCTAGGTGAGTATTCTACTGCTGAGCTACAACCCCAGCCCTGGAAACCTTGGTTTTTAATGTTTAAGACAAAGATTTTGGCCAAAAGGAAAAAGAAACAGCGACCATGTCCACAGGGAGTGCTAAGGTCCAGGTTTTCCCCGGCTTCAGAACTTTCAGAGGGGACACATTTTGTCCTCTGTTTTTATGGTAGCTGATTCTGTCCCCAGCAGGGTCAGTACAGGTGTTAAGGTGCAAAAGGCTTGTTGGGCCTGCAGTACAAAGCACGGGCCTAGTGGAGGAGCAGGGCGGTGGCAGAGAAGGAACTCTATGGTGGTGAGCTAGCTAGGACCCTTCTGTCCTAAAGTGTCACACTCCTGTGAGGCTGAGTTAGGGGCAACTTATATAGGAGATGGAGGATGGTAGGCCTTCTGACAGGTGGAGGTTTGTGGCCAAAAGACACAATCCTGATCCTAATCACTAGGTGTTTCTTCAGTTCTGCAACTTGAAGAACAAAGATCAAAGGTTTTTATTTCCTTAGGCTGTTTTTGTCACTGCTTGGTTTGCCCCCATGCAGTTCCTGACATCTTACACAATGGACAGGATAGAGGGGGCAGCTGCCCCAGGCCCTCTTGCTGAGCACCAAACTCACAGCAATGAAAGAAAACACACTTCACCTAATGACTGTGGAAGAAGAGGGTCAGATAAGGTTCAATAGGGAGTCTGGGGGAAATAGTGCCTCAGCGCTCAGCTTCTCAAGTCCCAGTCAGAGTCAAGGTTAGGGTCCTGCCTATGTCACCTTTTCATACAGTCCCTCTGACCCAACCCCACTGAACCAGAGGCCCAGCTGGGCCCTCTTTGGGCACAGCCTACAGTGGTTCTGTGTCACAACAGCCTGTCTGCCCGTTGGCAGGTGATTGGGCCTATCTCTATCCCTTCTACCCTGGCGAATAGCAAGTCAGGGTATGCCATGCCTCCCACTGGGCCCAAGAAAGGATACTTCTTATGGGACTTGGCTTTGCCTGGCAGAGGAGGCAGGGCCCTCTCAGCACATAGAACCATATGCCAAGGCTGTGGATGAGGCTGGGCCTCTCATTCTAAGGATGGTCGTCAGAGACCTAAAGGAGAGATCAGTAACCTTTTCAGGCTAACCTGGCTTTTAAAAAATTATTTTTATTTTTTTAATTGTCAATGGATCTAACCTGGCCTTTTTTTTTTTTTTTTTTGGTCATTGTTACTAGGGATTAAATCCAGCACTTTACCACTGAGCTATATCTTCAGACCTTTTTATTTTTAGATCAGGACTGGCTAAGATACTAAAGGTCTTGCTAAGTTGCTGAGACTGGCCTCAAACTTGTTGTCCTTCTGCCTCAGCCTCCCAAATCACTGGGATTACAGGTGTGTACTCACTGTGCCTGTCGCTAGCCTGAGCTTATGCTGATGTTGATGGCTGAGGGAAGCTGTGGAAACCAGGTGGGTAATGGTGGGACTGGAGTTAGTCCATGTGAGAGGGAGAGCCAGGTAGGCAGAAGAACACAAGGTGGGCACTCAGAGAAGAGGAAAAGAATTTGAGATGGACCTGCAAATGGGAAGAGATCTAGGACAAGCCTGGGCCTGAGCTGGTCAGCCAGGGCTGCTGCTAGGGCAGGATGGTGCTGGGCTAAAGAGCTGACAGAAGAGCAGCTCTGGGAGGGCTTGGGAGGAGGTAAGGCAACTATGAATGCCCAGGATGTCGGCAGCCACCTGCAGTGACTCAGGCCAACCCCAAAGCTCAAATGTGGACAGAAATAGCCTTGTTTCCTCAGAGACTGGAGGCAAAGCATGAAAGAACAGGCGCTGCTGGCAGCAGGGGAGGCTGCCAAGGGGGAGGAGGCCGCAGCTGCATGCTCCTCACACTTGGCACACATGTCAGGAAACACAACCAGGGAGAGAACCACATACACCTGAGACCACTCTATCCCAGAATACTAGAGTCCTCACTGTGTCCTTCCTAGGCACATGAGGCTCCACCCTGCTTTAGGGGTGACCCTTCAGAAGAGCATGCACTTTACCAGCATGCTCATTTAATTCTCGCAAGCACCAGATAGGGCAGGAGTTAATCAGAAAAACAAGTTTTGGACAGGTAATATATAGCTCAAATACAAAATGCACGACAGATGTGAAAGTCTCCCTCTGTCCATGTCCCCTGTTCCTCCAATAAATGAGCCAGTGCATGCAGAACATTTCAAACAGTGGCTGGCACAGCACATGCACTAAGCATCAACTATTAATAATAGTGTCATGGGGGCACTGACAGAATCAGTGTTAACAGGTCACCTTACAAGGAAGGAACAAAGGAGTCACACAGGAGAAACAGCAGTCAACCTTTCATATAAATCAAAATGTTTACCACCAGATACTCCCACAAACACAGGTAAGCAGCCTTAGTAGTTTTTATGGATGACTCCTGCATCCCAATGTGTACACAAACATGATTATCTATTTTAGCTGCTATTTTAAAACAAAATACCTTGGAAACTGTTCCTTACCAATGCACAGATTTCCTTTTTCTTTTTCATCACCAGTCGCTTATATTAATGGATATTTGGGTTATTTCCAATCTTTGCTTCTACAAATAATACTCTGATGAACAGCAGCACATCATCTGCACGCATGCCAGCATCCTGAGGTGCAGAGGACCTGCACATGTTGCCAGGAGCCTCTGGGTGCTGACAATCCAGACTCCCACGGGCATGTGCCAGTGTGGCATCCCACTGCTCACTTCAGATGGGGAAACCACAGCTCGGGAGTCAAGTCCAAGGGTTGTCTGACTCTAGAACCCAAGCTCTTTATGGATCAAGCAGGGAACCAGCGACAGAAGAAAAGCACAGAGTAGAAGGAGAAGACTGGTGGAGAAGACGGATGGAAGGACAGAGTGACCAAGTCCTGCTGAGAGGGATTTTCATGAAGCCACATCCTCACCTTGTGGCTCTTTAAGAAACTGCATATGAAGACATTTGCGGGTAAGTTGTGATTTCACAACTGTGGGAACAAGCTGAGCCCACGAGCTGGAGAAATCAGGGTGAAGGCCGAATCTAACCCACAACCCCTGATTGCTCCTTCTTGCTCCAGTCCTAAAAACTCTCTCAATGGCCAGAGTTCCCTATGCCCCTCACTAAGGAGTGTGAGTCAGTGCTGGAGTGAGATGAAGTCAGGGAAGACAAGTGAAAACATTTTGCTTTGAGGATGCGTTGTCTTATCTGGACTTCATTATTCTTATCCTGGGGAAGGGAGTGTGGAGAACTACAGTAACTATTCTATGCTGTTCAGGAGACACCCTTAAGTAATTCACAAGGGCACACACAAACCTAATCTAGGTTTACCAGCGTGACCAGAGGCCCTTCATTAAACGAGTAAGGAGGTCTGAAAACCAATAATTTTCATGGAAACAATACTTACAAAAAGACAGAATACAGGGGGCTGGGGTTGTGGCTCAGTGGTAGAGCACTTGCCTAGCACATGCGAAGTGCTGGGTTTGACCCTCAGCACCACATAAATAAACAAATAAATAAATAAATAGAATAAAGGTATTGTGTCCAACTACAGCTAAAAATATATATATTAAAAAAAAACCAGAATACAGGTGGTTAAGCAGTCCCTTCACAATCTTATTTTATTGATCTGCCTAATAAATCATGTCCTTCCCCTACACTGCATAATTTCTGAGAATTAGACAAATGTGAAAGAAAAGAATAAAAGCAATTATGCCTTCCAAATCTTACATGAAATGATACTAAATACAAAGAAAGGGAGAAATTGACAGGGATAGAGATAACGAGGGAAAAATCCCTGATGTAGTAACTATTGCTTGAGGGTGGGGTGCCTGCTTGGACCTTCCTTCTTGAGACAGTGTGTCCCTCTCAGAACAGCCAAAAGGACTGTTCACACTGAAGAGCATCACTTGCTATGCTGGCTCATCAGCTTTAGCTGCTGCACTACAGCGGCCTATGATGGCCTCCTTAGCTGGCCTCCTTCCTTGTAGGGAAGCATCAGAAGATGGCACTGAGTGAAAGGAGGCATCAGAACATAGACAATGAGGGGCTGGGGTTGTGGCTCAGTGGTAGAGTGCTCACCTAGCATGCACGAGGCACTGATAAATGTAAATCCTCAGCACCACATAAATGTAAAATAAAGATATTGTATACCTAAAACTAAAAAATATTAAAAAAAAAAAAAAGAATATAAACAATGAGCAATGAAATACATCACTGCCTGAGAATGTCTGAACCCACTAACTACAACTGCTTGGTCCCTGTCCAAACCAAGAGACAGGCCACATAAGCTTTGCATATTCTAGGGACCACCTGGACTATGCTATTAAAATCCTCCATAGTTTCCAGGACCCACAAAGGCTGTATGATCTACAAGATATAATTAGGAGTGAGGTAGGCTTGGCTTACTCTTGTCCTACAGTAAAAATATGCTTAGCACCACGTATGTGGTAACGTTAACTCTACAAGCCTGGCCACCTGACCCTCCTGCTATCTGCTTATCACTCAAAGGCAGTCCTGTCACAGCTGCCAGGCTTGCTCCCACTCATTCCTGTCCGGGACAGAGAAAAGAGGAATGGGAAAGGGGGATGGAGGCTGTCCACTCTTGACTAAATCATTCAAATAGAAAAATGATCCAGTAGGGAGC